TATCTAAACTACAGTCTGGGGATGAAATACCTGTGTCTTAGAAATGTACAAAAAATTGCAAAGGTTTGGTTAAAATTATGCTATGTATGCAAGATTTTGTTGTGTGTTTATTTAATCCAGAAGTTTGCATTATAAATAATGTTGAAAAATTTTATATTAAGCAAGCATCAAATAAAATTTACAGAAATAGCTTTGCCAGTAGCGAGAATAAGGATTTTATGTAGTTTGACAGTACTGTAAGGAAATATAGATATGTAAGGGGGGAAATTTACAGCAGGACTTGGCATTGCTTTTTTAAAAGTATCTGAAAATAATTCCAATTTTTGTAGCATGAAATTTTTCCAGAATTTAGTCACATACACTGGGGGACAGCACTGCGAGCTTCATCATCCCATTTAATCAATGTTTCCCCACTTGGTTCTAAAGGGACCTCTCCTGGACCATGATTCAAGAAAGTACGTCCTTGCAGGACAACACCTAACTATGTGTTTTCCTGAACTGGGATCCTACTGAGGACAGGGTAGCTCATTCAGGTGATGGGGTCTCTGCTAAGATTGTCAAAAAATGTGTCAATTAGTGCCAATTTTGTTTGTGATTTTTCATAAGAGGACAATTATACACTGTGTAAATTCTCATCTGCACATGGAGTTTAACTTTCCAGAACAAATTTCAAAGAAGATAATGCTAAAGCGGAACAAGGCCCTCTTTTTCTGGAATACGAATGTCCAGACATGGAGTTATTTAGGAATAACTATTGTGCATTAAACTCAGACACATATCTTAATCCAAATTAACTTTCATGTGTAGACAACCCCTAATAAACTCTGACCACCAACTCATTTCACATCCCAGCCCATCCCAACCCCAGGCCATTTTCCCCATCTCCAGATCATCCCTCTTCCACATGTGTAACGTTTATCACAAATGACTAAGCCTGAAAAAAGATCTGAAAAATTAGCACTCTGGATTTGATTTTTTTAAACATCTACACAAAAGGAGGAGAAATAGCTTGACTCTCAGCTGACAAGATGTTTAAAGCGAATGGATTTTCAATCACTGTGAAAAGCTACTGCCTGCTTATTAAGTAAACCTATTCTGTGCAGCTGGCAGAGGCTGAAAGACATAAAAAGAATCAGCTGTATTTCTCTCTCTTCCTGTCATGACCCTTCTGAATGGAACCCAAATGTGACATATTAAATGGCAGCAAATAAGGCACACATTTTTAGCAGTAAGGGTAATTAATCATTGTAACAATTTACCCAGGGTTGTGGTGGAAATTTTTTAATCAAGACTGGATGTTTTTCTAAAAAATAATATGCTTTAGTTCAAGCAGGAATTAATTTTGGGAAGTTCTGTGGCCTCTGTAATACAGGAGGTCTGGCTAGATGAGCACAGTGGTCCCTTCTGGTGGGGAATAATCACATCTTCTTTGTTCAGGAGATGTAGGGACTATGACCCACATGTACTCCAGGTGTGCAAACTGCCCCAGGAGTGTGGTGAGGGGCAAAGAAGAAATGGGCATCATTCTCCTCTACCTTTGCCTGTGGAAATGGCCACCCTTGGAAAGGAAAATAAACACCACACCATTCTAAGGACTTGTCTGCATGGAGACACTCAGGAAAGTTCATCCAAATTAATTTTCAAAGCGGGTTAAGGTAAACAGAATAAAGGCTTTGTCTACATGATGTGATAATGTGCACTACGGTGTATGATTTCTAAAGCACCTCATGTATTGTGCGCTCATTGGTCCACACAGATCCTGCTGGCACACGCAAAAACTTCTCTAGTGCTTGAAACAGTGCTGTGAAAGTCCACCAGTGAACTTCTACTGCACACCAGCAAGGTCTACACAGACCAATTAGTGCACAACACATTAGCGTGTTTTGGAAGTCGCACGCTGTAGTGCACATTGCTGCACTATGTAACAAGTCCCATGGCTACTGTTATTCTGAATAAGGCCTGGTCTACACTAGGAAATTAGGTCAGAATAACTACTTCACTCAGGGGGTGAACAATCCACACCCCTTAATGATACAGTTAAACCAACCGAACCCCTGGTGTAGACAGCACTAGGTTGATGGGAGAATTCCCCCGTTGACATAGCTACCTCCTCTCGGGGAGGTGGATTACCAAGGTTGATGGGAGAAGCCCTCCTGTCAGTGTAGGAAGTGTCTTCACTGAAACACTAAAACAGCACAGCTGCAGCATTTTAACTGTAGACAAGCCCAAAGAGTGTCCTCAGAGGGGCTTACGGTGCTTTAACTACACGTCTTTAAATTTACACCTTTAGTTAATTCAGATTAATTTTCTGAGTGTCCCTGTGTATACAATCCGTGAGTCTCTGTCTATGCCCACCGTAGCTCCCACTGGGGCAGTACAGCTCCTCATCACTTCTACACACGTCTAATTAGCCTTTGGCATTTAGGTTGCTACATTTAATATTGCTTTGCATAGCATGCACACATACAAACGCACAAAATCAATCATGAAGATCCCTATTGATCATTAGCCTAGACACTGCAATAATAATAATAAAAAAGTATAATTATCATTCGCTAGCAGTAAAATGATAAGATGCAAGCAAGTCTCCACTGCACAGTGGAGATAAACTAAAAACTCACCTGCAGAAGCAAATCATCTGTAAGCAACGGAAATTAATTTAGACAGCTGCTTTGGCCTATTCTAAATGTAAGGGGCATTACAGGGTACACGTGCTATTCTAATTAAGGTTGAGTCAGCAGCTCTATTACAAGCACTTAATGTAGTTTCAGGAGTTTATGGCTTCAACTGTCGTTCTGGGCTGAATCTTGAAATCCAACATCTCAGCATGGGAGCAAAGCCTCTGAACAAGTTAAAACAAAAATCAGTTTGCAATTAGGTGGAGTAAATCCCTGACACAGCACTAAGAAGGAGACCTGTTTGCTCAGACCTGTGACTCAGCAAGTCTGTTTCTTCTTCCTGGCTACGTAGGAATGGCAAAAGGCAAGTATATAGGCAAGGAAGTTACAGATGAGGGAAGTTTTTGCATTCTGACATATGATAATTACAACTGAGGAAAACAAGGATGTGCCCCAGACAAACCTCTGCACAGTTCTGCATAGAGCCTGGGTTTCATTGTTCAGATTATCCTTCCTGGGAAGCAGCTAGTTTGAGCAGCGAAAAATCACAGAGTTGTTATACTGTGTTGGGGGTAAATTGACTCTACAGAGCGGTAGCTAAAAACAAATGCAGTATTGTCAACCCCAAACATTCAAAAATCATGAGATAGTCCCCCCAAATCATGTGATTATAAATGATTAATTAGGAGATATTTTTCTTTATCTGCCTTCTGGTTTTTGAGCCTCTACAGTACACCTATGCCAAGTTTTAATTTTTTTCTACAACCACAAGGGACATAAACTTTTTTTTTTTTTAACGAAAACAGAGATTTTCATCTAATCCCCTGATTTCAGAAGCTGGGGCTTTGAGAAAAACACCAAATATCATGGTAATTGAAAAATTGTGAGAATTAGCAACACAAATTGGTGAAATAATAATTCATTTGGTCATTTCCAGTGCAAAAGCAAGAACAAATTTTAAAAAGCATTTTATTCACTTTAGACATTTCTGAGTGCCTAAGGAAAAAACAAATTAAATTATATGTCAAAAGTAAAAAAAGAGAAAAAAGTATGCAATTAATTCAAGATACGACCAAACAAATCTTAGTTACTTTATATGGCAGAAACGAAGAAAGATTAGGCATAATCTGGCATATGTTGATGCGTGTAATTTTATTCATGCAACAGTCCCATTTTCATCATTGAGACAACTCATATGAGTTCAGTTATTCGTGGACAGAAATGTTTGAGGAATCTGGTCCCTATTTTCACTACATTTTTGACTCCATAACTCACATGTTTCTCTGGTTTGCTTTTATTTTATATATACCAGTTATGGAGCATTTCTTGACTCCTTGGTTTTATACTATGGTTTGGAAGTTACGGATCATTTATGTGCTCAGATTAGCTCTTACCTGACTACTTTGCATCAGGACCCTTTGCCTGGTTGTATATATTCTTAGCAGTATACAATACTACAGTTTTGAGGACTGAGAACCAAGGAGAAAGCATGAGGGAATGAGAAGAGACCAAGAAGACAGAATTGGATAGAATAAAACAAGGAGAGTGAAGTGGAAAGAAGAAAGAGAGAAAACAGTGTGTTAGAGCAGATTTAGAGAAAAGTGATACTGATACAGGGAAGACAGACTAAGAAGAGTGCAGCTGTGACTCAAAAATACAATACTAATACTTACCTTTATGATATACAAACAAAGGTGCATTTACCAAGTGAGTACTGTTTTCCAGAATACAACATATTTAAAAATAATGTTTTAAACAGATGAAGAATTGCTTGAATTAACAAAGTATGAAAATTGGTGACAGTGCATGTGAGGTTACAAGTTTTATAACTGTTTTAACACACATACCAATATACATATGGTTCATAAGCTTGAAAAAGATCTGATTTTATATTTTACAAATTGGAATGAAAAACAGCAATATTTACAAACAGTTTTATCAACTTAATTTTTTGCACTAGTAGTGACATTTTAAAAACAGCATGTTAATGGTATTAAAAATACTATCAAAATTCATACTAGATTAATAAATTTGGTAACATGAAATTCATATTAACTGACAGAACAACATCAAGACAACTAATACAACAGTTGTCTACAAGAGCATCATCTAACATATATGTAAAATCTCCTCTGTTCATTTCAGTTATTCAGCAAAGACAAAACATTTTTTGTCATGTTTGAGTGGAAGGAGAAATCAATGACTGCTGACATTTATTGACTAAAATCTATGCTTTCCAACCTTAGGTTTAGTAATGAATGACTGTTTAAATGAGAGAATTTAACATTTCAACATTTTATATTTGATTGGTCTAATGGGGTCAACAATATTGTATAATGGTTAAAAATATATAGATATATATACATATATAAACATACTCACCCAACAGACAGGAAAGGTTCCTTTGAATCAAGTCTGTTAAGTAAATAACAGATATTTTAAAAATATATATATATATACACATATTATATTGTATAGCATTTAAATTATGGACTTAAAAGGCTCTAATCGATCTATTGCACTTTATATGGTGATAATGCACAATCTGGCAGCAATAGCAGAGCATCAAAGTTCTTATCCAACTCCCATTGAAATCAGTTAGTTACAAGACTCCCAATGACTTCAGCTGGCAGAATGTTTACAAAGCAGCAAACCAGATCCAAACTAAACCCACTTCAGGGTGCATTTCACAGGAAGGACACTTGACTTGATAAGCAGTGTAACAGGAGCATTTTCATCCCACTCATATGTTCCCCCTCCCATGCTGCCTACTTCCATGTGAAGTCAAATTCTTTTTCTCCTATGCTCCAGTTCAGGAAGATACTTTACTACTAAAAACTGAGTCTTGCATGGACATGTGAGTTGCCCATGTGACTCCAAAACTCCATCTTGGAGCTAGACTTTGCATAGGAGAGAGGAGGGGGTCTCCACCCACAAGAGAAAGTCTATTTAAGCCCGTGGGAGACCCCTCCATTTTGTCTTCAGCTGGCTCAAGAGATAGCCTCTCCGCCCCCAAGGATACCTGAAAGAAACTGGAACAAAGGACAGTAACTACAGGGGGTGTGAGTAATTGCTGGACCCAGACTAGAAGGAGACTAGTCTGTAAAAGGAAGCTTACTGGAATTCCTCTGAGGGTGAGGTTTTATCTGTATTCCGTTTTCTTAGACATAGACTTGCGTGTTCTATTTTATTTTGCTTGGTAATTCACTTTGTTCTGTCTGTTACTACCTGGAACCACTTAAATCCTACTTTATGTATTTAATAAAATCACTTTTTACTTATTAATTAACCCAGAGTATGTATTAATACCTGGGGTGGGGGTGGGGGGCAAACAGCGGTGCATACCTCTCTATCAGTGTTATAGAGGGCGAACAATTTATGAGTTTACCCTGTATAAGCTTTATACAAGGTAAAACAGATTTATTTGGGGTTTGGACCCCATTGGAAGTTGGGCATCTGAGTGTTAAAGAGAGGAACACTTCTTAAGCTGCTTTCAGTTTAAGCCTACAGCTGTTAGGGGACGTGGTTCAGACCTGGGTCTGGGTTTGGAGCAGGCTGGCGGGTCTGGCTCAAACCAGGCAGGGCACTGGTCTGGTTTTGTGAGTGGATGTATATCATACCCCATAAGTCCCCAGCTGGGAGGGCAGGGAAAGCAGGGGCGGAAGTAGTCATGGCACATCAGGTACCTTAGAGTCTCTAAGGTGCCACGAGTACTCCTTTTCTTTTTGCGAATACAGACTAACACGGCTGTTACTCTGAAACCTGGCACATCAGGTGGCAGCCCCAAGGGGGTTTCTGTGATCCAACCTGTCACACATGCTATCTCCCTTGCCTTCTTATGCCACATATCATCCATTTTGTAAAATGTCATCACCCTTTTAGCTCAGGCACTTCTGGCAGATGTGTCATGATAGTTTTGGTGTCCATAACATTAACTGGGTGTGAATGTGAGTGAAGGGCCTTGTGAAGAGGGGTTAAAAGAAAAACTCTACAGACCTATTTTGAGAACTTAGGTGATATATAAGTGGTATATAGAGTACATGTAGGCCCTCTGTACAAGGGTGAATTTCATTTGAAAGAGAGCACTACAAAGAATAAAAGATAAAAAGCAAAACAAACTCTATAAAATATTTGTCAGCGTCTTTTTAATAATGATGATAGCCAAAGAGAAATGGTGGCATGTCTCTGGAATTGAACACCTTAACTACTACAAAACCCCACAAAAATCCAACCACACTAAACAAAAATACTACAAAATAATGTATTTCTCAAAATCTACTCTCTCCCCACCCCACAATTTTATTAGGTACATGATATAGTAAAGATTTAGTCAAAACAAAATTAGGTTTAGTACAAACGTTTATAATAATCTAGCCAGAAGTTTGTTTTCAAACATGTATTCATCTTAGCACATTCTAAAGACAGTCAACTTCAAGTATTACGTTTACTTTTAATAATGTTCATCAACTTTTGCAAAGCATTTAATTATCAGGAAGAGGTTTCTAAAATTACTGGTGGGAACGCTTAAGCACCTGTCTTGCTCTTGACTGTTGGATGCAATATACTTGAAATATAGTTTCCTGGGACTGAAACCTAAGTTTTTAATGCAACTTTCACACATGTGCTTTAAGTAAGGGTGAGTAGATGCCAGAAACCCATCACAATGTATTTTCTGTGCATGTTTCTCCCTCCTCTCTAGCACTTAAGAATAGAGTCATCTGTCTCCACGGCAGCGTCTGCCCTTTTCAAGGGACTGGGTGGCCCTGTGTTGATGTATTTGTGAGTGGATATATATCATACCCCAGGAAAGATACTACAGTGTAAGACTGCATTACCTTTACTACAGAACTCCCTGGACAGTCACTAGTGCCTGTCAAGTTCTATGCCAAGATGACAGGAAGCAGGATGGTCAGTGGGGGCCTCCATATAGATGGCCGTGGCTTCCTCCCAGAGGATCCATATTTTGGGGGTGTGCCCTGTGGCTCCATCTGTAAGGTGCAAGTCCTGTTCCCATTATGAATAAAACAGGTAGAAACTCTGTGATGATCCTTACAGAGTTTCCTTTTCCCTTATCATCCCTCCAGTGGGTTTTTCCACGCAAGGGGGTGATCCAGCCCTCATAAGAATCTCATAAGTTTTGGCCTCTGATATTTTCTTCATAACAGTAAAGATGAAAGAGAACTGAAAGCACATCTGTGTTTTTGTTTTGCAGTCTTACAGCAACAATTTTGTCATGAGGAGAGCTCTGGGACATCAGTGTTCTGATGAAGGACATAATCTGGTGGGTATAATACACAAAGGAAATGTTTGAGGTAATGTTCTCTGGATAAAATACTGCAATTAAAAATCTATTTGAAATTCATTCTCAAGATGGAATTCCATTTGCTTTAACTGTGCTGGCCTAAGTTTGACCCGCCTCTATATATTTGACTAAATGCTTTTAGATAATATGCAGCATTATTTTAAATTAGTTCAAGTGTTTCAGGTAATAAGGGAATACAATCATCCATTGGCCTTTTATTTTAACAGGTAATTCAGTGCATACAAATTAATATAAAGGGCTCTAAAACTGCAATTCAATGTAAAAGAATATACTACATGTCCTTTAGTGGCAGTATTTATCTATCCATGTTATCAATTATTACTTCCTTCCCAGCGACTCAGAACCCAAAATTCCTCAGAGTTTTAAAGTATTTTATATAGCTAAGAGTGACGCATCCTAAAAGGTAATCCTGGGTTGCTGCAGAAGAAGTTGAGATATTTCTTCAGCAGACAATCTATTAGAAGAGGAATGTTTGCTCTTAAGAAGAAAAAAAAGGATCAAACCCTAAAAGAATGCAGGGATACTGAAATAAATAAATACATAAATACAATAATATTTTTAAAATAATGCAGTAACAGTAATGACACAATGAAATGATATATTTTATAACCTATGATTTGTTGCTATCTCTAAAATCTGGGTGCTAGAACCTTTCTGATTTGCAATGTTTTTATCGCCCATAACCTGCAGTGCTCAGGGGGGAAAAATGTCTAATGAAAGGGAATCTCAATAGCACATATACACTTTTTTTAACACATTGCATGATTCTTGGCCTATTTTCAGTTGGCCTATTGGCACAACTAACTTGATACCATGTGCATCCAATGATACCTTTGTCATGCAGTAGATGTACTATTCCAAAGTTTCTAAAAAAAATCATACACATTGTACTATAAAAACTAGAATAATGCAATACATGTCAACAGTCTCTACAACAACTATCTCTACAATATGTCAACAAATCACATATAGGGGACTGGAAAAACCTGAGGTAAACTCTAAACCTTTAACCTTAGCATAATTGTTCTAGTTAAGATTACAGGCAAGATGCCTTTTTATATCTGGGACACAACTCAACATACATAAATCAATTTCATTTCAGGCTAAACCATCCCCTCTCTCCTTCCCAAAATCTATTTACAGGAAATTTGGATACATCATTGACAACATCATTGTTGTAGATAGGCAAACAGAATTCAGCTAAGTGGTCCTCTAAGATAACTCATTTGGAATCAATATATGCTTAGTGCTGATGATTCATCATTCATAGCTAAGGTGTGGACAAAAACCAGTCATGTTGTATTTCTGTTTGCTACCTTATTCTGCTACCTCAAGTGTGACAAAACAGTCTACTCTGGACCAAACAAAGCAAAGTTCAGAAACTAAGACCAAGATTTCCAAAAATGACTCCCGATTTTGTACATCAAACTTGAGAACAAATTTCAGAGGGTAGGTAACTCAGCACTTTCTGAAAATAAGGCCCCTTTAGGGTGTACTGTCTCAGAAAATGGAGTTTGACTCTATTGTTGATGTCAGCTTGTCTGGATTTACAGCCTGAAAATACTGATTCCATTATACCTAACGCCAGCAGCCATATTGCAGTTGGCATGCATAGCTTTCTGCTGCTTTAGTAGAGTCTGTTATGTCCTTGAGGTGGCGAAAAGGCTTCTGAAAGCCTTTTCCTGGTACTTCTATAGAACATCTAGCAATACAGGAAGTAGTATAGCACCAAAGAGAACATAAAACTATACAAGAGCTTCTTCCAAAACCATAGAGGATACTCTAAAATACATCATTCAGTGGAGCATACTTACACTTACATCATGTTCCAACTAGGACCCTGACTTTGCAAATAATGATATGCAAATTGGCCAAGAGAAGGCTAAAATGTATGTCACTTGCTGATATAGGGTGGCTGTTGATGTGCAAAACCAGGCAAATGGCTCTTAGGTCTGTGATACGCTATATAGGGTTTAAACTTAGTTCTTCCTCCTCCTCTTCCTTTTGCTTTAGGGCAACTGCAACAGTACTGTGATCTGGAGGATTTGAACAGTTAATTCCTCTGATAGGAATCTAACAGTTCAATTTTATA